ACAAATGTTGCTTGCAGGCATTCATTTCAGAACTCAGTTGCCAAAGAGAAAAAGCATAGGAGTTAGCGTCATGCCCTAGCATGGGTACAAATACATCTTTTCCAGACAGATGCATTGATCATTGACATCATATCACTAAGAAAATGGTCCAGAGCTTGGCTCCGCCTTGACTGGGACTTCTTAAGTTAGAAACCCAGTAGTATGGGTAGAAAGCAACTTGAAGTTGTGCATATTTCAGCTACCATGTTCACAGTCAGTGTGAGAGACTGTCTTTTTCAGGCATTTCCTGTACACATGGATTTAGTAAAAGGTAAAAATGGATTTCACTGTGTTGTATTTGTTGCCCTATTTTATGTGTACTTGTAATTTCACTAATTCATAATTCCACTTATAACATAGCTTCACACAGTGGTGCTGGCAGATAAAATGTATGTTGATAAATACACTGTCCCGTGGTTTTCAGGTTGATCAGTTTGAATACTGCAAAGATGATTTGAACATCTTAGTCTTTGAAATAGTTAACCTAATTGTTTGGGTTTTTAAACATAAATTACTCTCCTCCCAATATTGACATTACTAATAAATTATTAATGAGTTCCATTCAGTATGCCAGCAATAGATGATGAGTTTGATAAACCCAGAACTTTATCAGCACTTTACAAACCACACTGAAAGCTTGATGGTTCCATGCTTTTTTTAAGGCATTAATGAAATGTGTCTAACACCAACCCCAAACAGCCTAATGTGCCCATGAAACCTGTTACTCCTGGACTTGAGAAATTATATACCCTAGATCAGTAGAAATCTACTATAGAATGCTACTTACACAGTATCCTATGGTAGGAATTTCTGAATCAGTGTAGTTACTAATAGGCTATCGATGCAGAGAACAAAGAAGCAGGAAGTCCGCAAATCCCATCTGCTCTTTTCTGGTAATAAGCTTGTTGTTTTATGCTGCAATAGCTGCAGGCTGGATCTGCCTTTCAGGCAAGCCAGTGAAGAATTAATTGCTGTAATCCAGTCTGGGCTATACAAAAGATGTGTGACGATAAGGTCAGAGCATGGACAGCAAACTCCAAGTCTCATGACATTATTTTAAAGTGCAGTTCCAGTCTTAAAAATTACTCTGGAAATAGTTTTATAAAAATAGAGCCACTATCATGCCAGCAGAAGCCTCTCCTATTCAGTATTCTGCCTTTAGCAAGGGCTGATAGTAGCTTTGTAAGAAAAATATCTCAGAAACAAGAAAAATATTGAGGGAAATTTTCCCTTTTTCAGTCATTGAATCAGGACATCTGGATCATTTAGTTTTGATAGCAGTCAATGTGTAATAATATTCCATTTGCTGCGACCCATTTTTAAGCCATTTAAACATTAGGGCTTTACAACCCCCTGTGGCAATTAGAGCTGCAATTTAATAATGTATTGTTAGAAAAACTACTTCTTATTATCTACTTTAAATCTGCTGCTTAGTAATTTGATTGGGTGCCCCTTAGTTCTGGTTTTCTGAGAAAGACAGAATGATTAATCATTCTCTATTCAGCTCCTCTTTGTCATTCATGACGATATAAAATTTAGATACTTCTCTTCCCAGCTGACAAGCCCTAATTTATATAGCCTTATCCCCACAGAAGTCAGGCCAAACCTCCCATTGTTTCCTGTCTCACTCCATAATGAAAACGGAATTTTCTAATACATTGTTTTCTTTCTAGTCTCACTTCTTGTTTTCTTATAAAGCCAAATGTTCTCTGTTAAAGAAAACAGCTTTACCAAAAGCATATTAGCTTCTTCAGAAACACACTTCATGAGCATGTCCTGCTTTAAAAAATCTTTGCAGACTCTCCTCCTATGTATCATATATATTCATAGCTTCTCTATTCTGTCATTTATTCCAATTTGTACAAATTGGCTTGATAAATAAAATAAGACTAAATGAAATGTAGTTTCCCCAGAGCAGTTTTCATGGTTTTTTTCAAAGCTGATGTCCCAGCTAATGCTTCCAATTCGTTTGGCACCAAGCCTGCTTTGAACGGGTAGGGTAAATGTTAGTGAGAAGCTCAACAATGTCACACTTAAGCTGGCATGGAGGTTTCACATGGATATTACCTAAACCTAGCAATTTGTTATTGTTAAATTTGTACATTTACTCTGCATTATTTGAGCAATTAAACACTTTATCCTAAAGTTACAGCATGGATTCCTCATTCTCAGCATCTCTTGCAAACATTTTGACTTCCTAGGTGTTGCTAATTTCATGCTAATTGACTTTCTCTTTCTTTATACTCTTTCCTTCTCCTGAACTACCATGGTTCCTCCAGGCTTTTTCTTATTTAATTAATATTAAATTGAAGTACATTGTAATCACCATTAGAATGAATTTACTATAAGAACACATCCAAAATTGCATCATTTCAGTGAGCTCAAAATGCTGCAGTGCTTATGGCATCCAAAGATACTGTCTGTGAATTAAACTTAGGGTTTGCATAGCCATCTAGACACAATTATCCATGACAGCTCTTGTTCAAGGGGTTGTTATTTGATTGTTATCAAATCACTCTGACTTTCAAATGCTTTAGAGCCCACTCCCTCCCATCCCTTCTGTATATTATAAACTGAAAGCATCAGGCTGAATCTTGCAAATCAGGATGGGTTTCTTTCTAATGATCTTCATCGATAACAAAGACTAATTAGACTTTCAAAGAAGTTTGAATATTTACATTGTCTCCAGTATACAAGTATATTGGAAAGTATAATTTGGTTTACCACTGATGAATAGGAAAGAGAAGGTTGAGGGGGGGATGTTGTTCAAGGTTGTTAATAAATGAGCTGATAATCTAAAAGCAAAGCTTTTGAAATACTGTTTGAATGTAAAGATCATAATGAAAGAAATACAGCTTCTCTTCAGGAGGGTAAAAATCCATGACACACCTTCTGCCAGGACTCCAGATTTCAGCTTGACTTATCTTCAGGAAACAGTGGCAGTTGATTCAGGAAAAATGCCTTTTTTCCTGATAACATGATAATACAGAATCATCTAATGCTGGTTATGATTTTTTCTTTTTATTAATCTTCTGTCATCTTTACTTTTTGTCTATTTGCATATAGTTGGGGAAAGAGATTAAAGAAATTAATGAACTTTGCAAAAAAGTGGAAAAAAATTGCTATCCATGTTAGCAAGTCCATCATGTGGATAGATAAGTGATTTTTACAGTTTGCAAAATGTTAGTAAGTGTAGGCCAACAGACTCAAGACTTTATGATGCTGCTAAGTGGTTTAAAACTTATCATCTTAAAAAAATAAACAGCAATGTGCTTAGCATTGGTTATGTGATGTATGCAGAAAAAAATTAAATAATACAAAAAACCCTCAGTCAGTAATTGTGTTTGAGAAGGCATATCTGAGTGGCACCATGTCAAAAGAATATGGAAAATTTGCTGTTGCTTGAAAGGCTTTTGTGTCTCAAAGTGGGTGTTTTAGCTTTTCAGATAGGGAATGGTTTAAAAAAATAAGTACGTGAATTTTCATCTAAGTTCAGTTTGGTCAAGCAAGAATCTCTGCTGGCTATTCTGAAAAGCCCATGTAATTTATTTTTATCATTTATTTTTTACTGTCAGATGGGATAGAAAAAAAGCCTGTGAAAATGGTATATAAAAGCTTGCATGTAAAAACTTGTCCTTGCACTATCTATAACCCACTGAATCACAAAAGATACAATAAAATGACAGAGATACCAAGAGGGTAATTTAGGTACAGTTAGAAAACTTACACCCAAAAATTTTTTGTGGACCCACTGTGCCATAAACTGTATAACTTGCAAAGTACTTGAGATCTTTGCTGCAACATCACAAGAGTGGCATAAAACCCCTTGCCCTTCCTCCTGCCATGCCAGAACTCCTGGGTCTGCGTAGTGATGGATCTATCACAGGTGGTGATGGATCTATCCATCTTAGTCCCTCTGGGCCCCTTTTGTCCATCTTGGAGATGTGCAATCAGTGCTGGACACACTTTCAGGGCTGTGGAGAGCTCGTCTAAAATCAGCCCTTTCTGGGACAATCTGGAAATAAATGCAGTACAGCAAAAGTATTCCTTGAGTAAATTCACTGGATTGATGAAGAGCGTATGAATTGTGGTATTCCTAAAGGAATAATCCTAAAGGAGTGTATTCTTCTTAGCTAGATCTTTTCCTTGTGTTTGCTCCAATTTCATTATGAGAAGCAAAGTCCCTGCTATCTTCACTCTCAGTTTCATTTGTGTTTCTACTGAGGAGATTGTGATTCTGAAAAAGAAGGCAGGGGAGTTTTCAAACAGTCCTGGTGATCTCCAAATTAAAACCCAGAAACCACAGTTCTCAAATCATGTGCCCTCCTCTGACTGGGTATCTGGGATGTCCTCTCACTAGACTGGAAGAGGCAGAAAAAAAAACACTGCTGCTTTCTGGCTTTCATCCTTAGCTTTCCACAGATGTCAGTCATGTCAGAACTGCTATGCTTGCTCCCAGACAGAATTTTGCTGTGAGAAAACTGGTGTTTTGTTCAAAAGGCTTTTCTGCTACTTTCACATATGTCACTTGGGCAAATGGATAAAGTCAATGCTCAAATGCATTCTCAATTGTGAAAACAGGTAAAAACAGTGTTCAAATGCATTATAAGTCACATATTTCTGTAGATTTCCCAAATATTGTTTAAATATTTGGCTATTTGAAATTAAAGTGCTACAAATATGGTTAGCTGGATTCTCATTCTTAATTCCATGATTTGAACTACATACAGGGATAATATAATTCAAAGTTCTGTGGGTGGAGACTCCCTGGAGGAACCAGAAGGTATGAAGACAGACCAATGTTTACTGTAATATTCATCTTACAGTCAAGGTTAAATATTAATTTCAATTGGACCATTATTTACAATATTAGTACTATTAAAATTCTTTAATTGACTTATTTGCATAATGCTTTCATCTTTTTCATTATATTTTCTCCTTTTTCTGCTTCTTTTAGTATTTAAACATTTGCAAAAATGGCTTGGATGCCAGAAGAAGTTTGACCTTTCCAGAATTGATTGTATCTTCTTTTTTTCCTGAGTAAGTAGTTTTTAAATGTTGGCTGCCAATTGTTTTCACCACAATAGCTGTCTAAGCTCCCTAAAAAGATGTCTGATGACTGCACAACAATGACAAGACTCAGACAAGTGCTTTTGGCATGATTATATTCAGATATTGATTCTAACAGGACCAAACCAGTCACTTTTAAGTCCTGGCACAGCCTACAGTGCTGTAGCTGTCAATTTATAACTGACACAGTTATAAAAACCCCATGAAAAAATATTCCATTTCCAAGCAGCTTTCTTGGAAACTGAGGTAAACTCTGAATTTTTCTTGGGTCATTTATACAGGTGCAGCAGTACCACCCAGAGGCCATTGCTGTGCTGGATACTGCACAAACTGGAGAGAGTTCCTGCCCAAAAGGGCTCAGAGGCTGGAAAGGCAAAGAAAATACTCAGCCTTAGAAGAGATTATCATATAAAGATGTATTTATAATAATCTTCAGATGAAACTCCCCAAAATTTCATTCTCTCACTCTCCTACTCAAACCAAATCTGAATGTAGACAACACCTCTAATCATTGCCACTGCTTTTCATTCTTAATTAGATCACTTGGATGAGATTATGAAATTCCAGAATTTGGTCTTTGCTCCCAAGACAATGTGTTTTTTGTTCAGGAGTCATTCTTGAGTTATCAATAAGCATATAATGAATAAGCAGTATGGCTATCCAGTGGAACATAGGCCATAAAGATCCAGCCTGCTCTGGGCAGGGAATGTGGCAAAAAGACTACCAGGCTTTCATTGTTTATTCCACACACCCAGCTGTTCCACTGTGTTACACAACCTGCTTATGTATGTTGGGGGAGACATTGAACTTGGCACTCCCATTTTCTGGGCCCTGTTCCTCTGTTCAGAGAACACAATCTCCATGGTTTTAAAAGGTGGTAGTTATTGAAGTGTTCAAGAGGGTCTCATTTTAGCAGATTTTGCCAAACATATTTGAGAATACCTGCAGATTCTTCTCTCTGAAGTGCAAGGAATGTTTGTAAGTCCTAGTTTTGCTGATGGTATTAGAGTTGAATTGCTCAGAGCAGGAAAAGCACAAAACAGAAGAGGAGGCCTTTGAAGTCAAAGAAGGACCTTATCAGTTAAAGAACTCAGTTGTTCTGCATCAATTTAATCAGCTAAACAGAGCTATTTTTGTCAACAGTTTCAGACATCAGCACATCAAACCTACCTATGTATTTAGTCTCTTTATCCTTTGTCTTTATGGAATGATGGATGTCTCTGCTGCTGTGAAGAAAAACGAGGTGTTGTGGTGCAGCAGAAGGAAGAAAAGGAGGCATTTCTCCCTTGTAGTCTGGCACCAACTAGTCTGAAAGCTGAAATCGCCTCCTGGTGTAATAGAGTAGCTACAATGAGCAATGTTCACATATGATCAGAGAGCAAAACCAACCAAGAAAGTGGGTGCATTTCATTCTAAACAATCAGATTATGTTAAAACATCAAGTATCAAGGAAGGCAAGCAGAGTAGCGGAGTTCTGACCTTATCATTGTGAGCAAATAAACTGAACACCTGAAGCTATCCCAACACTATACACCTCCCTATAGGAAAAAGCAAGGAATAGAGGTGACCTACAGAATAGATGTGAGATCCATTTGATGTTCCTTACAAGCCTAGGTAAGGAGACTTCATGAAGTAACAGAGACTGTCTTGTCAAACTGACATGGATCTTTATTTCGAGAGGAAGAGGATGAGGGGACAGTGTTACAGATGTTTATCACTGTATCAAGCACTGATAGAAAGGGATGCTAAGCCTAAGTGTTCTGTGGGAACCTACACAGGATACAACAGAATATATTAACACAGCAAAGATGTTCTTATGACATTTCGTGTTCTTTTAAGTATCAGTAGTTTTGAAGCAATCTACATATTTAACTGCATCAATATGCATTATATGCATTATTTCACTTCTTTCCTCTGATTGCTTGATTCCCCTCCCCGTAGAGCAATGCCCCAGCTTTGTAAAATAAAGTATCCATTACACACTGAAAAAATGGGCCTGATGAATCATGAACCCCCACATAATTTAGTACATCATCTCTCAATACAGCTTTTCAGTCTAATTTAATGCATTATTGAAGATAACACGTTCATTAAAACAGCTGCCAGCAAACTCTTCATTTGGATTGTTTCATGGAAGGATTAGTCAAAGGGAAATGAAACATCACAGGCTAATGATATGCAAAAGGGACAAAAAACACTTAAGTTTTGATACATTGGTATTGAGATGTTAATATGATTTTTGTTAATGAGTATTGCTCTGCCAGATATGGTAAATCATAAACCTGGTGTTTCTTCTTAGCCAACTTACAACATATAATAAAAAATAACAAAAAAACACATGGCAAAATTACCAGGGCTGTTCAGTGAGGATGACTTAATGAGCACAGAATTATTTGTTGTTTCTTATTGCTACTTCTCAGTCAGTAAGCTTTTAAGTAGCAGATATTTTCATCCAGAGCTCCTGGTCTCTAGGGGAGTGAACTGAAATTTCTGATCCCCCTCAAACACTAGGAAGTCCTAGATTCTAATGTGCTGGCTCAAATGAATGTCTAACATCTTCCATTGCAACTGGGCTTTAGCAATAAGTGTTGGTCTCTCAACAGAACCAAATTTGTGACATTAAAATTTTCCTAGTACTTTTTTAACCCCATTGTGCAAATCATTGTTTACTGGTAAAGTACAGAGTTTTAACAACTATAGTTTAACTAGGACATGTCATCAGCAAGAGACACACACCAGAAAAAAATATCAATAACTAAAGATTTATTAGAGTTACTGATATTAATTCATAAGATATTAATAAAATTAACAAAACAAAATATCTGCTGTTTCATGTCTCCATTGCATAATCAGTCTGAACATCCTTTAAGCCAGACAACATCCTTACTCAGCTGCAGGCCCAGTGGATTAAATTACAGACATCCATACCTCCTGCCTCCTCTATGAAATGTGCAGTCAAGGAGAGAGAATTTGACTGGGACAGCAACTCACCAGTCTATTATTAACCTATGGCTTTAATACTTTGCATGCTTTTAAGCTCTTGCCTAGGTCCAGCAGCCTTCTAACACTAACTCTGTCTTTGTCATGTCCTGGAAGTCCATTTAAACTGAGATGTAAGGCAGAAAATCAGTTCTGAATAAACCATAATCTAAAGCATCTCATGACAAAGACTAGTAGTCAATACCTTTTTCTGTCCAATAAGCTACTGCACTATTGATTATTTTAGGCAACATATTATAACAAAACATGAATTCTTCTTTCAGTTTAAATACTTATATTCTCTCCAAAAGGAAAAAAAAAAAAAGGTTTCACTGTAGTCTCTAAGGAAAGAGTGTAACTGACATAGTGTAGATGTCTAGAAATCTAGAGCTGTTTGTTCCAGGTTGCTTTGCAAACCAAGGAAGTAAAGATGTACATTGGTTAATGTCACAGTAAAGCAGATGTTTGCAATCTGACCAATTTAATTGCTTCCTATAAATGTCTGCTTCTCTATATAAGCTAGAATAGATCAAGTAACTCAGAAACAGAAATCTACACTGTAGATGTATAAATTTAGGCAAGATGAATCCATCCAAAGTGTTTTGATAGTCACTTTAATTAAAGTAGGAAAGATAAATACAACAACATACTGTCATGCAAAATAGGTATTTCATTATTTCATTATTTCATATTAAGTGTGTACTTAAAAAATTGTGATTAAACATGGAGTAGGGTTCTTAAAACCCTCTAGCAATTTTTGTCCAGATTCCTTCTGCAGATGTAGATGCATTTTCCAAAAATCATTTGTTCTGTCTCAAACTTAACATTTAAGTTATTTGGGAAGAACCTTTCTCTGGAGTTTGATGTCTCTCCTTGAAGGTGCAATATGAACCCACTTCCCTCTGCATGAAAAACAGTAGTTTAAACTGAATAACTGACTTCTAAATGGCTAATCTTGATAAGGAAAATCCCATTCATGCTATATTAAGCAAACAGGTCTTTCTATTAGAGGAAAAGAGAATACAGCCCTTTCAAAACAAATATGTAGGAATGTCCTGGCATTCAGAAAATTTCAATAAATTATCATTGATTTTATGTAAAATTTAGTGCTTTCACAGATCTGATAAATATATTGACCCATATCTTGTTTTGCTTCCTGCAGTGTGTATATAAAAATGCTTCTAAATTCTCATTAAAATAATTATTTTAATAACGATGCAGTAGGACTTCATTCAGAGAATTCCCAGCAGTAAAAATGAATAATTTCCCAGTGTTTTGAATTAACAGGCCAATACAGTTAACTAAACAATAGTAATTTCTTCATCATATGTTCTGTATGTCAAAATTAGTAGATCCATTTTTCTGCAAAAGAGAAAAGATTGGTCAGAGATGCCAAGCAATGCATTATGCTCCAAGTGTCCTACAAGGAAACTTCAGATTTCTTTTTTCTTTTATAACATCTACTGATGTCTGTCTGTCTTGTAACTTGATGAAATAGGACATGCCAATTTATTGTGCTTAATATAGAGATCCTTGGTATGTCTTTCTACAGTTTTGTAACTGTTACTATGCTTTATTAAATTTTTAATCTAATTATTTGCAAAATTCCCCATTACCATCAGATTTTGCAATGAGTTAATAACAAAAGTATTTTAAGAAAAAAAAATTTTAATAGAATTTTAGTTAACATGATCTTATCTCAGAATTACATAGTTGAAAAGCAGCTTATCAAAGTATTTAATCTACATCTCTGTTTGTCTTAGTTTGGTACAGAGGTACTAATTTATAGTATTGTGAAATAATAATTGCCATAAAGAGAGAAGACTTAAAATCTAGCAACTTCTAGAAAAATTAATAAAACAAAATGTTCATTTGTCCTTGCCTTGAATGTTTTTTTAGTCACCTTGCTCCTCACAAAGGTAAGAATCATAACCACATGTAATATCTTCATTATGATTTCATAGATTTTGTATCTTCTCTCTACTGGTCACAATTACTCTGTGTGAAAATACCTCTGCATCCTGGCTTATTGTTTTCAGTAGGACAATCTGATTCTCAGATGGCCTTGCAATTTATTCTCACTTCCAGGGCAAGGTGCCATTGCTCCCCCTAGGTGTCTCTATTGATTGGCCAGGTACAACTCTACAGAGAGACCTAAAGAGATAACTTGCAGTGTGACCAAGATCTCCCTCACAGACAGAGGATAATTGTGTCTAGAACCTGGGGTTGGATATCATCCTAAGCACCCAGATTTACTGAAGTAGATGCTTTGAAAATATTTAAGTACACATTTAAGTACATTTAAGTACATTTAAGAAATGATCAAAACCAACAGCTGTGCTGTCATATAATGAAGTCTTTTGAATGAAGTTCACAAAAAATGGTTTTTCCCACCTTCAGTATTATATGTCTTGTGCCTTACCTTTAACTTTGGAATAACAAGGCTCACAGTGCACAGTTTTTTTGTAAATCCAAATGCTGTCTCCTGCTTTTAGATCTTCCAGAGGTCTCTTACATACTTCACACTTCAACACACAAGTCAAAGAATGAAGAAAAATTAAAGTGAAACATTTCTCTAATACTCATACCCAGCATGCTTTCCTTTAGGAAACAAGCAACCCCAGACCAGAATAGGAGTTATTAGTACTGCAATATAAAAATGAACTCTGAAAGAGTAGTTTTAGAGAACAAGAAGTTAGATATCTGACTATGTCACTTTTAGATATCTAAAAATCAGATAGCAGTGTCTCGACTAGTTGCCTAGGTACTCATAATACTCAACAACCCTGTCCTTTCCCTAGACATTTCCAAAGGGTACTTTCACTTTCTCTGTTTTTGCTTAGGGGTTTATCCTACAATAAGATGAATCACCATTTTGAGATCCTTTTCCTTCTTCACTGAATAAAGGGAGAATGATCACACATAATCATGTAACTCAGAGCAGATCTTAAAGAATCTAGACTTGCTTATTTCAAAATATCTTATGACACTTTATCTTAACTATGTTTCCCATTTTTGCAGTTTCTGGACACTGCTTTCACAAATGTCTCAGAAAAGCTCATTTTTTGAGATAGAGAAGAATTGCCCATGTTTCACATATGAAAATGCACAGATACACACAGAAGCTGACTTACCATGATCACAAGGAAAGTCTACAGTGGATCAAGAAGCATGGTAATTTGATGCAGAAACTAGGATCTTGATACCCACATAATTATATTATTTATCTAAAGCTGATAAAAGAATATTAAATTCTGGTTTCTTTGGACAATTCATCTACTGGTAAGTGAAAAACAGCATTAGTATTAAGGTGCTATTAAAAAAATCTGCTGTCTTCACTGATTTTATATTTCTTTGTTTAAATTAGCAAAAGGGTGGCCATGTCTTCACAGCTCTGATAACTAATATTAGCTAGAATTTTTATACAGAGAAAAAAAATCTAAAATTTGGATTATTTAATTAATGTACTTCTGGCAGATACCTTTACAAGGAAATTAAGATGATGTGCTGCTGTCAGCTATGTGCAAATCTCTAATGGATACAGGGTATTTGTAAGGAGCTAAATTAATATTAATTAGAAGAAGTTGCACTACTTAGCTAAATACATAACTGCAAGCATGAACCACAGACCTACATAAATTGTTTAATTTTTTTGCCAATGCTTTCATAAGTTTGTAATTAAGCTGAATATTCCTGGCCAGACAGGTCCTCGTTTGATAGTAACAAAAAATATAGTTTAAAAAAGAAACGTAAGTATTTAACAGATAATTCAGCCACTACCAACATGTTAATAATCCTAATGAAAACCCGATTCTTCTTTATTTGGGTTGATCTGTCTAAAAGGAATGGAAGCAAACCAGAACTTATATTTACTTGCAATAATAGTATTGCGGATGTATTACATAGTAGTTCCCACGGGAGAAAATGCTTTTCTGGTTCTCAGAGAGCTCAGAAAGTCCACAGTAAACAAAAAGCACATGCAGCTTCATACATGTGAAGTGCAACCTTACTGCTGTATTCCGATTTGTGTTACTTTTCATGTAGTAAATAGGGACAAGAGCTGCTGTCAGAAGCAGAAGTAAAAACTGTGCAGGACTGGGCAGAAATATGAGCTATGCTAATATTTTACTGACTTTGCTGAGCATTGTTTGTTAGAACAACAAACTCTGTGTGTAGATGCAAGCAGAAATAAGACAAATAAGACAGGAAAGAAACAGACTGTGGGACTGAGGCAGGCATACCCTAAGTTTAAGAGTGAATTTGAGGCTGAGGCTTAGGGTTTGAAATTACAAACAAAAGAGAAATTTCTTCTGTGCTTTCATTCTTAATGGAAAAAGAAAAAAAAGACATGCTTTTTAATAATTAAATTGTTTTACATGTCAATTAAGACCTAAAAAACTTCATAAAAACTGAATAAAATTTTACAACATGAAGAAAGTGTAAGTTTATATAATTCACTGTATCAGACTTGAAGTGAAGGCTTATAAATGTGCAGAACTCTAAGAATACATTCAGCTCTATCCTTCATCCTGCTTATGGTTGCAAGGGAAGAGAGGCAAGGAGGAGAGTAGAGAGAGAAGGAGAGAGTGAGATAGGAAAAGGAAGGGATTGTGTAGGGAAGAGAGGGAAACAGAGATTAGTATTTCCTACATTAATCTTCTCCAGTCTCAAGTCTTTTTAAAAATTCTCACAGGTGGAGAAGGCCTAAGGCCTAAATAATATCTTATTATATGTGTACTATAATGCAGGTATTACAATCAAATTTTATTTCTTGATAGCAGGTGAAATCTTCTTACCTTGAAGCAAGTGGAATGACAGCAAATTTGCAAGGCATCTAAGATCATTTTGGCATCTATGCCCAAGGGCTTCCTGCAGTATGTACATATATCTTTTCCAATTATACTCCTGTGTATATAATATAACATCAGCTGTCAGAAAAAGAGCTGCTATTGAAATCTCAAGCAGAAAATTGGTAAGGTTAGCACACTGCATGGGAAAGACATTTGTATACTATACAATAGCCATAATAGAAAAATGTCATTTGTGTATTCTCTCCATTCCAGTTAACAAGTGTCATGCACGTGCTCCTGTGATGGGAAAATTGCTGAGCTTAATTGTCAAGTAGCAAAAATACCTTGGTAGAAAGAATGGTCTTCTCTGAATTAAGCTGCTGAATGTCTGGGAGCATTTATAATAAACAGGGATAGGGTGAAAGGGAATGATTTTAATGTTTTAATCTCAAAAGTAAACTGGTTGAATTCCAACTGCCATAATTTGATCAGTCTGGTTCACAGAATTCTCTGTGATGCAGAGGTGCCTAAAAAAACCTTTTTGACTTTCTGCACTGCATACAGAATTCATACCTTGATGGCAGTTATAGCAGATTCGTGTATAGAACAGTCTACTATAATATTTTTTATTTAAAATTTTCTCAGCTCTTGCTGCACTCCTATGTGACATCACTCTGTACTTTGTCTAGATACAACTGTAGGTATTGTTTTAGCATTACAAAATCAATGACTCTTGCTCCTTGCCTATCAGTGACAAACTGCTGTATTAATATTTAATCATCCCCAGAGTTCCTTATCCTTTTGTTGGAAAGGATACAAGTTTTTCTGATTAGGTATTTCCAGGTAGTAGGGCTGTCCAAATTGAATTAAAAATACTGGGCACTTTTAACTTCTTTTTCTCCATGAGGTAAGTTATTACAGATTGAGCAAATATCCTGCTTATATTTGGGAATGTCTTACTGGTGTGAAAAGATAGTTTTCAACAGCACTGTCATGTGAACCTATTCATCCATGCTTGTGCATAAATTTGGTCATTATTATTCTCACAAAGGAAGGAAATTTTGCAGAGTAAGTGGCTGCCTGAGATAGAAACCTACAGAATCACAAAGCCAACTTTGTCATTTAAGGCATTGGCTCTTGTTTCTACAGATGTTTTAAAATGTCAGCTGTGACAAGCCTAACATAATATTAGGCTGCTGAACTGTGGTCATGATTTGATGGCAAGATCTCACTGAAAGCGACCTTTGTACGAAAAGCTGTCTCATGATGGTGACTTCCAGGGCTCTCTTTTGTCTGAAGACTTGAATGCTTATGTAAATGTCTGTGTCCTTTGGTACTCTACAATGTTATTAATGTGTTCTTACCGATCAGAAGTAGAATAAACAGTTTTGATAGTATTTCCAGTTATATTTTCTTCATAGGCACCAAATGATGATTTGCTGTGAAGCAGAGAGTACATAGCTATCACTAAACAGTACTACATTTTTTTAAAGACTTCACTACATCGATGATAATATGCAAAATAAACTAAGACTACATGCTTGTAAAAAAATCGTACTTGGTGATGAGTTCTTTTTCTGGGGTTTTTCACAATCAAGAATAATGTATCAAATAACAAGTGTAAATTAGTAATATAATAACATTTGTAATATAGCATCCTTAGACTGTGTTCTATTTTTGAATGATCCTTCAGCACTTCAAAATTAAATCCACAAGCACATTGAGCAAAATTTACATAACAGTATTTGGTTTCCTATGCTGATATCTCAGCCTAAATTATACATATCAGAAAATGGTGACAGACAAAATTTTTTCCTCTTCTTCTTTCACTTGTCCTCAAAAAGCTGTCAAACATCCAAACAAAATTACAGTATGTCCCTAGAATTAGAGTCTTCATAATACAGGATTTTCAGTGTATGATTTGTGTTCACTACAGTAACTGTATTGTTCCTTATATCAGAGTAAAAGGAATATAGTGAATTTAATTATCAGGGAAGTTAAATCTTCCATTTTTAACAGTTCCATTTCCAAGTTTCTCAAATGTCAGTTTTGTTTCCGTGAAAGGAATGAACATGTATGTGACAGCTGAAGTAGTAATCTGCCATATGTGTTTTGAAGATTTCTGAATTAATTTATTTATCCTATTCTCCAAAAATTCTTAAGGTATATAGTAATTATAAAACGCTTAATCTCACTCTTGAATAATGTTCTGCAACATTAGGAGCAATTGTTTATAATCATGTGTATTTACCAAATGTTGTTTTTTTCCAGGAAATACAACAGATTGATAACATGTGTAAGGTGTTACGAAACTCAGATACTCTTTTCTACATACCTGTATTTTGTAAAGTACATATGTCTTATTTGATTTCTGTGCAACACCAGAAATATATTTAAATTGCAGCTACTGATAAACTGAAATGATAAATGTTTTATTAATATTTCATAGAACATAACAAGGGGCTTGTTATTTAATCAGAATGAGTTTGCTCACCACAGAGGAAATATTTCCTCAAATGAACACCCAGTGTTCCATTTACATTTCAGGTGAGATGAAAGTAAGCTTACAAAGTAGGAATGCAAACTAAAGCTAAGTGATCACCTTTTGAAAGAGTTTCTCTGGCTGAGAAATTCACTTGACCAAGAATGTGCATAACATATGTCACAGGGTGGAGTGTATTTATAGTACAATTAACCAAAGTTTCTAAAGTGGCAAGGAATATAATTTCTTTGTTCCTGTAAAGTATGAGCCTGTGCTTGTTATTTTTGTTGTTAAGCTTATTTTTTCCCAAGTTTTCAATTTAACTCATATTTAACTGTGGAATCTCGGGCAAAGTGAGTACTGTGCATTGGACACTCAACATAATATATGTATGTATGTATAATACGTGCTGTATGCCAGAAAGTAGCATTATCTTACAGGAAGTTGTATAGAGAAAAATGCTTTCCTCAAGTGTTCTAGTGTAGAGAACAGCATCCCTCGGATTTTACTATCTGTATTATGGTTGAAATACACAAATATATAAAACCACAGCTTTGGTAGAAAACTACAACTGGAGTGTATAAAATAAAAATTCTGAAGCTACAGCAAAGATATTTCCAAAGCATCAGTTTCTAACCTTGTCAACTGAAAGTGTAAGGAAACTCAGAACATTTAAATAAATGCATAGTCTGACAGCTTGATGAGACACCAAGTGAAAACTGAGTCCCCGTAGTCTGAGAATTGTGCACCTGATCACGTCCCTTCTTTCAGTTCATATCAGTCACTCCTTTACTTGCTATGGTGTGACTTGTTCATACAGAAAACTACACAACAAAAATACTCTGTAGAACCTATTGCATACAACCTGAAAGAATAACCTACAAAGACCATTAATTTAATAAGTTTTCATGAATTAAAATGGCATTAGAACTTCAAGTAGAGAGTATATAAAGCCTATCAAATGTAAGGTAACATTGTGGCACATTCTTTGCCCTGTTGTTCTTCTATTTACTGTTCTCTATTTTAACTTTCAAAGATAAGCAGAATATTACAACTCAGAGCCTGTTTGTACACAAAATTCTGAAAAAAACTAATTAATTTTTCTGTTGAATATTCAATTTTAGTCTTAAATTGTAGGCTGTGTGACTGCATTTATTCTCAGCCAGTTTATGGGTTTTTCCTTCAAGGTCACGCAGAATTTTCAGAGTACACAGATTTCAACTGTGCTCCAACCGCAGATGTAGGAATATGAAGAATTAAAGATCCCATGCCTGTTTATATCCACAGCAAACATCAGGTGTGCATAAGGTTAAGGATGGGGACATTGACCATAATTCCCATAAAGTGAATTATGGGAAAGATTGTGACCTTTACTTTCCTGTCAGTAAGGCTGAATAGATTTCTCATCTCCTTGCTGAGTCAATAATCCTGACTCAGGCAGTTTGCATTTGTACAGCAATACAATGTATAGGTTATGTCTTTAAACAGTCCTTCCTACATAAATATTTAATCTGAATAGATGGGTGGATTGATACTGAAGAGAGGTTTTCTTAATCCATAAAGGTCTTTCATTCATGAACTACTTTTTGTTGTCATGTTTGTGAAAATAATTTTGACCATGAAGAACAAGATAGCATTTCCTTTTATTTCAATTATTTCCTGATACCAATAGACCTGGTGTACAGCTAGCTCTATTAAATATCCCTACATCATATTTTTCACTCAGATTTACAATATGTGGGTTTGTAGAGGTAGAATCCAGCTAGAGCATGAGTATTGCAAGAGAAAGGGTTTTTTAAAATAGAATGTCTTGGTCAAAAAGTCAGAATTCCATGCCACAGTGTTAGCGATTGGGTTGATAATACGTGAATTCAGATTTATCCCATATGGGTTTAGGAAGTTAAAAAGGCACTTTAAGTGAAGACTCTAATGTTTTCCTTACAGTCTCATAAAGAAATAAGTTTATAAGAAATAAAAGCATTCAGGAAATGCCTTTCCTCTATTGATTAGATAAGAATTCTGGATAAGCTACCCTCCTAAATTTTATGTTTCAGCTATATCTCTAGAGCTACACAGAGTGTGTCTTGTCCTCCTCACTATGTACACTAGAGTTGGGATTTGTGATCTTCTGTGACTGGGATCCTGGAAGCAGATTTGGAAAGGGGCTGCCATGATTCCAGAGACCAATGACAGCTTTCTAAGCATTCCTGAAACTTATTGCATAAAAAAGAATTTTATTATTTTTTTTTTTCAAGAAACAGTAACCAATTAATTTTCCACAGTACCTGGTCTTTCTTTCACTGTCACTAGAGTAGTTTATTTCTGGGAGATTATTTGGAGCCCTTGGAGGATTTTCATATGCTTTCTCAGTTATCCTAAAATAAAAAAGAAACCACACAACAAGAAAATAAGCAATTTTTAGAAATCTTTTTCAGCTGCACGGTTTTAATTTACACTTACAATCATGAATGCAGAAGCTTGGACTAGAAAAAGTAGGTAAAAGCAGTTTAGCTTATTTTGGTTAAATAATTGCTGGTGAAAAATAATGCAGTCACTGACCTATAATATTTAGTCCTCCTTTATGCTGATATATTCATATATATTCATATTGGAAACTTCATCTAACTTTAATTGAACTCTAGTTTTCTCAAAGTGCCCACTGAGGTTTTCAGCTGGGCAATAATGTCTCAGTTGTTGATAGCATTCCACATTTTCTTGTCAGTATTCCATAATGTTGTATTCTTAGTCTTACTATATTTTAGTTCCAAATTTTCTTTTTTTTGGATATACTACAGTTATGTTTTTATTAGAAATTACCAACTAAACAGACACGTAGACTTGTTTCAAAAAGTGGGACTACGATTCAAGCAAGAGAAACTTCCTCCTGCAGTTTTCCCTGCCACAGGCAAACAAACATAAAAATAGACATTGTCATACAAATTATGGGATATCAGAAATAAGTGCTAATAACATTTCTGATGATTTTACAAAGCAGCTCAGACAAAGGCTGCTCTTGTTTGGTTCTGCCAGAGGTTATATTCTGGAACAACGTGATCAGTATCTGCCTTAACTCTGGATGTGTGGGCTGCAGCTTGATTATTTCAGTGAGCTTGCCAAGGACAGAGGCTCTGCTGAACGACCCTCCCTCAGTGCTTTTGGTGCTTTATATGCAGAGCGGGGCTGCAGGAAGCAACACCTCCTTTGTGCCCAACTCCTGATGGGGCAGGCCCCTGCCAGAGCTGAAAGAGAATCTCATTCAATGAGACGCTCAGTATATGCTTCCCTGGTCAGACTGTCAAGTGGAACTGCTGGGATAAAAATATTTTCTATTAAAAATAGCAAAACTGCCTATCTATACAGATAACTACATTCTCCCTCTTCATGTGAATATACAACTAAATGGAAGACTCAAAAAATACACCATCAGAATGGCACCTAAAACCATACTACCAACCTCACTTTAATTGTCCAAAATGGATCCTAGCTTTTGTAAATAATGAAATCTAGTAGCAGTAAAGCTTTTATACTAGGAATGCGTTTTCTTATATTTGTTTGAGATGCCAGCAGCTGAATTCACAAAACACATAGATAAGCACAAAAATACTTAGGAGAATCTTGCCACTAGTCATTTTCATTCTCCACGAGAGATTATAGGTTTGAGTCATTGCTTATCAAAATACATGTATCTTTATTGTTATATTTGGTTAATCAGGTACATTTTTGAAATAATACAGATATCTTACTCACACTGGGCAAATTCTGTTTGCTTGAAATAGGAATTCATATTTTCTGGTTTGACTAAACAGCTACAAGCCTTGATATGTTATCATTAAACTTTAGAGGGAATTATGCATTGACTCTCACCGCTTTTTACTTTGGTCATCAGCAGACTTTACTTCAGTGTGATCCCCAAGGTCCTCATCTCTGAAAGTGAGAAAGACCTTAGAATTAATAAAAGTATTTTCTTTAATCTAAACATATTAAATGGACTAAATTATTTATGTTGAAGAAGAACGAAAGACTGTATGAATTTCCCAGGTAAGACTCCTGACTACAACAAGTAAATTATCTTTTCAGCCTTCAATATTTTTCACCTTCTTTCCAATGTGACATTGCAAAAGAATTACAAATGGCTCAGAAATGTCAAGTCCATAGTGTTGTAGGATAATTCAGGCTGGAATTCAGGGACTTCAGGACCTCTCTGGTCCAACCTTCTACTCAAGGCAGAGGCAGCACTGAGGCCAGACCAGGTTGCTCAAGTATTTGTCTAGCTGGATCTTGAAAACTTTCAAGGAGAGAGATGGCACAATCTCTCCAAGCAAGCTGCTCCAGTGCTGGACAGCTGTCCATAGAGCCAGTCAGAATGTCTTGTGTTTCAACTCATGGCCACTATGTCACATCACAGTGCCACACTACTAATGAAGGTCCCGCCTATATCTTCCAAACTGACTGTGACCCTGTCATTTGAACTTAGGAAGTGATTTTCATTCAGTTCAGGCATCCATGAGCTATGGAAATGGCTATCAAAGTGTGTCCCTTGCTTTGTTGTCAATATCCACTCCAAATCTCTCTTCCAACTGCTGTTATCTAGAGTTGTGAACAATCTCTAGGTCTATGTGGTCACATTTATACCAGCAACTCATCAATCATTAGCTATTAAAAAGCTGATTTAATATAATAAATTTCATGTATTAACGTCTGTCAGGTATATAAAATATAATTTTACATTCATATTGTATATTAAATGCTCTGTAATAAAAAATATTAGCCATTGACAAATTAAGTTTGAAGAAAGGTCACTGTTGTACTCATTTGAAAACAAATAACAATCTAATTAATTTTACTGAACAGAACCTATTAATACCAATATCCAATCCACCATAAATATTTTATAAGTATATAAGAGGCAGATTATGACAGCCTTACCTCTTGTTTTTCTGATCAGCAGTATTTTTTTCAGTCCAATCTGAAAGGTCTTTTCGTCTGAAAAAAAAACCATATAGAATTGTTAAAATATTCCCTCTATCTAGGAAGGGATAAAGTGTCATAAAAGAAATAAATATATCTATGCACACATTAAAAAAAAAAAAGTAAACTTTTAGTTAATTTTATGTTCAAAATTTGCAAAAACTAATGTTCTTGAAGAAAATATGTTTGTAATTTTCCCCTAGCAAGGGAAAGTTCTGTACTACTTATTTATTTATAAAAATTATTATCTAGTACATCCAAGAAAATAAAAATGCTTGTTTAAATTGTATTGATTCCATAGTTTAAGATTGTCCTTTGCCCATCAAGACAGTGAAAAAGGAATATGAACTTTCAAAGAATTTAGAATTTATTTAAAGATTCGAAGTAGCTTAATCCATGTTTGCATCATTTATTTGCAAAAATGAATTTTCATTTAAACTAAGAAACTTCAGCTTCTGAAGATAACACCTAAATATATGGCCAAATGTCCAAAATTTCACTTCTGGAATGACAAGAAATTACCTCTGTGTGTCATCATGGTTAACAATTAAAGCCCTCATCATGTCTGTATTTATATTGAAAATGTTAGTATCTGAACACTCACATATTTTACACATAACGAAATTTTTTCTTTGATTTCTA